GTAGATTGTGTTTTATTTTGGAGGCATTTATATATGGATTAAGTTTTGGGTAGTATTTTCATGTATGTTAATCTTAGATTGTTGTCTGCTGTCTCAGTCCAAATAATTCCCTTTATATTTTTTATAAGTTGGTCTGGTTATTACTAATTTTTTCAATTTTCTGTTTATCAGGAAATGTCCTAATTTTGCCATCACATGAGAGAGACAGCTTTGCTGGGTATATGATTCTTGGTTGGCAAGTTTTTTTTTTTTTTTTCTTTCACAGTTTTATATATATTACCCAATTGCCTTCTTGTGTGCATATCTTTCTTTTTTTAATAAAAAAGATTTTATTGTGAACAGAGTGATAGCTTACATGAGGGAACATCAGTTTTGCACTTAGCCAATCATATTTTGTTTCATTGCTATGGTTAAAATCCCCTCCATGCACCATCCATTAACAGCATTTGCCTTTATTACTGTTTTTTTTTTTTTTTTTAGATACACAAAAACATGCAGGCAGGAATATATAATCATTTAAATAACCAAAGGGCACATTTGGAATGCCAGCCTCCTGTCCTCTACATGGTTTCTCCTGAGAAATAAGAGATTGATCCTTTCAGTTCTGCTTCGTAGGCAGCTTTTCATTTTTCCTGAGATGCTTTTAGGATTCCTTCCTAGTCTTTGATTTTGGAAAGTTGGTTGTCTCAGTGATTTTCTTTTTGGTTTATCCTATTTGGACTTTTTCAGTTTCTTGAATTCTTATCTTCTTAATTTTTAATGATGCCAGGTAAGTTTTCTTACAACAACTTTTCAACAATTTTATTTGTGGTTTATTGTTTTTGGTTTTTATTCATTTTCTATTCTAGGATTTATGGTGTCCCAGAACCGAGTCCACAGCACATAGCAAAAACAACAACATAAGTCTTTAGTTACTTAGGACTCTTTCCTTCTTTTATCTGATTGTTCTTCTAGTAAATTAGTATCGAGATATTTATCTTCAAACTCACTAATTCTGGATTCCACTGATTCAGATTAACTCTTTTGCCTTTTCAATGTATTATCCATTTCTGAGATCTTAGTATTAATCTGCTGGATTTCTATTTGAAGCCTTTGTATTGTTCTTAATATTTCATTTATTTTGTCCATTTGTTATGAATTCTTCTAAAGTTTTACTATGTTCTCTTTGCTTTCATCCATCTTTCTTTCAATATGCTGAATTCTTTTTCAAGTAGATTGAATACAGTTTCTTCCTCAGAAACATATTCTGTCTCTGCATCTTGGTCATTTGTTTGAGCCATTCTGTCTTGTTTTTTTGTATGAACTGAAATTGTCTGTTGTCTCCAAGAAATTGTATGGTTGGTGCATTTGTAGTTAATTGATAATTATATGTTTTTGTGTTCTTAGGCTCTCATCCACTGACTTCTGGTGTGAACAGACAGTGGAAAAGTGTACAAAATTCTTCATTCACTATTCATGGAACTCATTTTAGGATGGATTTGGATGCTATTGGCTTCTGTCTATCATTGATTATATAGTATAGAAGCTGCTATTAGATCTTGTTCAAGTGCAATGGGTGGTAATGCAGATGGTGCAGTTGTGGTTGGGTTGTTTGGCCATAGTTTCTGTCTTCCATCAGGTGGAAAGAAGATCACAGAGAGAGAGAGAGAGAGAGAACGCAAAACAATACAAACCAGCACACAACTTTAAAAAGTAAAATAATAAAGGTTAAAAAAATAAGAATAAATTCGAGCATCAAGAAAAAGAATATAATTACTAAAAAGCAAAAAGAAGGGAAGTTAAAAAATAAATTTAAAAAAGAAAATAAAAACAAAACAAACAAACAAACAAACAAAACACTACACAAAACTAGGAAGAGAGGTGAAGAAAAAAGAGAGACCAGAGAGCAGTAATGAAAAAGTAAGTGGGAAAAAATAAGAGGGTAGAAAAGAGACTGAAGAAAGGAAGGAAAAAACAAATACAGAAATGGAGATGGAAAATTAAACAAACAAAAACAGTGAAAGGAAAATGCAGGGCAGGTTCTAGACTGAAAGAGGAGAAAATTCTGGTGGACTCCTTCCAGCCAAGAAGCTCTAGTGGGTTCCTTGAAGCCAAGGAGCTCATGGGTAGGGGAGGGAGGAGATAGCAGTGTTCCTGGCCCTAGATATAGTTGTTTTAGGCCTGGATATTGTCTACATCCAAGGCACCAAATCTGGAAATAGCTCATGCAGTCCTCAAAGGTAGCTGGGTCTGGGTTCTTTCAGTCCTATCAGTTTGCCTGAAGCAGGACAGCTGGTTATAAGTCTAGGAATGACTGAAATAGGCTTTAAGTTCTACAGATTTAGAGTAGAGCTCACCTGAATCCAGGCATCAGGGCAGTGCAGACTGCACCTGGTTTATAATGGTGTGGCTCACAACGATGTGGCTCTACCCTCTAGGAGAGCAGCGGCTGTGCTGAGGGCAGGCAAGCATAGGGGTTGGCCATGCCTTTGGTTAACAGGGAAATATGGGAGAAAAGAATCGCTCCTTTCTTGTCACCAGTCACCAATGTGTGTCTGCAGCACTAGGCCACTCTCTGCCTCCAAAGCCACTTGCAAAAGATCAAGATAGCCACACTGCATTTGGCTGATTAACACAGCTCACTCCTCTGTCTCCTTTTATCACCACCCCTGCTTAGCTTTTTTTCATTGTAACTCTTCAACTCACTTCTCCGCCCTTTAGTTTTAAGCTCAGTGTTCCAAGACTATCATCTGTATGTGTTTCATTTGGTCTCCCATATCTTTGTTGCAGAGGGTCTGTGTAATGTGTCTGCCTAGACCACTATCTTTCTGGAAGTCTTACTTTCTTGTTTTAAACTTTGCAGTATCCCCTTGTTCTATTTGAACAATTATCTCTTAGTCTGTGTCTAGCTTCCACACAAACACAACTAAGCTTTCTGGAATTCCCATTCTCTGCAATATTATGTGTATTTTGTATAGTCAATAAAACAAAGACTTTTCTGGTAATTTATGCTTTGGCAAAGACCCATCTGACATAAACAATAATATAATTCATGTCATGGTCTCTTCTGAATGCGGCTTGAATTTCTGGCAGGTCCCTATCAATGTACTAATGCAGTCTGTCATATTCTGTTGAATCACTTTTTCTTGGAATGGGCATAAGTATGGCTCTCTTCCAATTGGTTGGCCAGTAGTTGCCTTTCTCATTTATTGGAAGAGATAAGCAAACATTTCCAGTGTTGAGCCTATTTGTTGAAGTATCTCAATCTTTCAAATCTTCTTTTAGGAGACAGCTCTTCCATAGATGTATTTTTAATACATTCTAACCTGAGAGACTCATCTTCTGGCACTGTATCAATGTTTCGGTGCTATTCATAAGGTTTTCATCAGCTAACTTTGCAGAAGTGGACTACCTCATCCTTCTTCCTTGTCTGTATTCTTCTGGAAGCTTCACTGAATCCTTACCATAATGGATACTTGAAATACATGTGGCCTAACTCTCAGCATCACAGCTTCAAGAAAACCACCACAGTAGAATAATTGACAGACAAGTAATGGATATGTACATGCATGAGAGAGTGAGGAGTGCAAGACATATATATGACCACTTCTAGGAAGGAAGGATGGAAGGAGACCAGTGAAGAACCAGAAAATATGCACTGGCTACATGGACAATTCTTTGAAATTCTTTAAAATATAGTGTTCTTTGTAGCTTTATAAATAGGGAAAGTTTGGATTTAAGTGATATAAAATATTAAAAATATCTTTATACTATTGAAGGAGCTCTGGTAGCATAGTGGTTATGAATTGGGTTGCGAACCACAAGGTCAGCAGTTCAAAACTGCCAGCTGTATCCGCGGGAGAAAGATGAGGCATTCTGCACCTGTAAAGATTTACAGCCTTGGAAACCCTGTACAGGGTCGCTATGAGTTGGAACCGACTCCACGGCATATAACAACAACAATTATTTTTAAAAAATCAGGAACGATATATGACTCTATTTCTCTTAATCAATATTTGGAATTTTACATTGAATGTATACAAGCCCATTCTATCAAAGCTGCTCATATTCAGAGCATGGGCTGCCTTGAAAATTAGTATGTTCTTTAGTCCTAAGGATGTTCAAGATTAGACAGTAATACTACAGAGGTAGCATAGCATTATGTGGGAATGATAAATAACTGTTGACTGTTTTCTTCAATTAGAGACTTAATGTGTACCATTCTACTAGAAAGAATTAAAATTCACTTCAAAATAAACAATGAATTTATACAAATAATGTTTTGTCTTATCTAAAAGCCCCTCATTAAGCCTCTTTCTATGCAGTATCCTAAAATGATGTATCCTTTAATAACACAGCAATGGAGATAAAGGTGTTCAAGAAGAGCTATGGACTCTGGAGGACTGCGTTATTGCCTCTAGTATAAGAGTGAAGGAAATATTTATATAACTCAGAAATGTGATAAATTGTAAGTTGTATCTCATTTTTCTATTCATTTTATTACAGTGTAAAAATCATAACATTTTTTCAGATAGTAAATAAAAATAAAAATTGGTGAAAGTTATTTAATAAAGAGACAACACTGTATCAACAATGTTCTAAACAATTTTTTTTTTTTTTTTACAGTTTGTTTTTAATCCTATGAGTAGAGTAAAAGACTGCTCTTTAAACCTTAAAAATGCCTCCTGTGAGGTAGGACAACACTGTATTGTCTTATTTTGCTATGAGCTCTGCATTTCAGGGATGACGATGTTTGAGGCAAGGTTCAGGGAGGCAATAGCCTTACAGATAAAACTGAAGGTATTTCAGAATCAGCAACTGAGTATGGATTCTCAACTATAATTCTCTAGCTGTAGGCATACACTTGGTTTGTTTCAAGTCTAGGTAGATAATCAAATACAAATACTTCAGCTGTGTCTGTTTCACTGAGATTCAGGCTTTTTTTTTTTTCCTTTCAAATTCTAGTCAATGTGCAAGGGTTGAGCATAATAAGCTATGCCTCATTTCATCTTCTTCCCTAGTGCGAGGTCCTGCTTGAGCTGAAGCTGATTTAACTTACAATGTTTAGTAAGCCTGTTGAAGTTGTACATAAGGGATCTATTTTGCAGAGAGGCTAAAGAAAACTCCTGGGAAAGTATCAGTCTTAGTTATCTAATGCTGTTATAAAGAAATACACATTTATTCTCTCACATTTTGTTGGTGTTCTTGTTAAGTGCCAATGAGTCAGTTCCAACTCAGTGGCCCTGTATAGGGTTTCCAAGGAGCAGCAGGTGTAAGTGCAAGAAATCTGAATTCAGGGTGAGAGATCTATGAGAAGAATTTCTCTCTCTGCTGGCTCTGGGAATGTCCTTGTCGCCTTTCAACATCTAGTGAGTCTGTGATCTTGAGTGTCTTGGTATCAATTCTCCCTTGGATCTAGGTGGTTCAAAGTACAGGGATCCTGGGTAAAAAGGACATGCTCCACTCCTGGCTTTCCTTTCTTGGTGTTGCTGAGGTCCTTCCCTCTCTGCTTATTCTTCCCTTCTAAGATAAGATTTTATCTAATGTGAGATAAAAGGTGCTTCAGACCACATCCTACAGAAACTCTCATAATTAGATCAGGAATGCAACCTGAAAAAGTGTGTTTTGTCCCACCGTAATCTCCTTATGATTGATTTGCTGATCACATTAGATCACAACATGGGAGATAATTATAACATAACAAAACTGCCAAAACACTAAGAATCCTGGCCCAGCAAAGTTGGCATACTATTTAATCAATGACAGTATATAGTGCTCAAATACGACAGAGTAAAGGTGTATAAGCTTACTCAGAAGCACAGAGAGCATTTGTTATTAAGTGTTATTGAGTTGGTTCCAACTCATAGTGAACCTGTATAAAGTTTCTGATGCTATATCTTTGTGGGAGCAGAAAACCTCATATTTCTCCCACACAGAGTAGATACTGAGTACTATTCTACTCCCGTAAAGATTTACACCCTCGGAAACCCTGTCCAGGGTCACTATGGGTCGGAACCGACTCGACGGCACTTAACAACAACAACAATATCAGAGGTGACCCTAAATCTTAAATAAATGCATTTCTAACTAGCACGAGGAAATGAGGACACATATGCCTGACATGTCTGGAGATCTAGCTTCAGGTATGATCCAAATAATTTCATTAGAATATATTTATCTAAATCTTTGAATATCACATATATATGAGGGAGTTTCAAAATCTTTAAGGAAAAATAGGATGAAAAGATAATGAAATTTTCCCCCTGTTTCCAACTTTCACATCCAATCACCAATAATTATTTTTACATCTTGAGTTCATGTTTCATCAATTTCTGAACTAAGTAGTTGGTAGAATTCTTCAATTTCATTATCATTGCCTTTGGTGGTGATAAATCTGAATAATAGTGGTTTTAACTTACCTTTCTTGTAGGTGAAGGGATAGTAGCCAACACAAACAGCATTATACTTCAAGATAGATACTGAAATGCACTTTTTGATGATGAATGTGATGTCATTCTTAACTTATTGTTTCCAGCATAGTAAATCATGATTGTTTGATTCAAAGTGGTCAGTATCTGTCTATTTCAGCTCACTAATGCCTAGGATAAGGCATCCTGATAGCATAGAGGATTAAGAGTGAGGCTGCTAACCATGAGGTCAGTTGTGCAAATCTACCGGTCGTTCTATGGGAGAAAGATGAAGCTTTCTGCAGCTATAAAGATTTACAGCCTCAGAAACTTTATACAGGGTGGTCATAAATTGGGACTGACTCAGGTGGGACAACATCATCTCCACCAATGCTTAGGATATTGACCTTTATGCATTCTATTTCATTTTCGATGACTTCTGATTATCCTAGGTTCATACATCATATGCTCAGTGTTCTTATTATAAAGGTACGTTTGCAACGGTTTCTTCTCATTTTGAGTTGTCCTCCATTGGAAAATGAAGGTTGTAAAAATTTTGCTTCACCTTTGTCACGAAGGCCAACCTACTTTTATGCTACCACTTATCTGTCAGCTTGTAGTATTGTATTGGCTTGATTGTGCTATGATGATGCTTTGAAGTTATGCAATGGTATTTGTATTTTAAATAACATCAGGTTACACTCACAGTGAACAGATTTCAGCTGAGTTTCCAGACAAAGACAAACTGGGAAGACAAAGAGTTGGACTGCTTCTGAATGTTTTTTTTGTTGTTGTTGTTGTTGTTGTTAGGTGCCATAGAGTCAGTTACAATTCATAGTGACCTTATGCACAACAGAACAAAATCCCGCCTGATCCTGAGTCACAGCCATGATAATGGCCACACTTGAGCCTATTGCTGATGCTACTGTGTCAATCTCATTGGTGGTCTTCCTATTTTTTGCTGATCCTCTACTTTACCTAGGATGATGTCCTACTCCAGTGACTGGTCCTTTTTGTTAATATGTCTAAAATATGAAAGATGAAGTAGCACCTGCCTTCTAAGGAGCCTTCTAGCTGTATTTCAACCAATACAGATTTGGTTGTTCTTCCAGCAGTCCATGGTACTTTTAATATTCTCCAACAAAATTACACAAATGCATTTCTCCTATGGTTTTCCTTATTCATTTTCCATCTTTCATATGCATATGAAGCTGTTGAAAATACCCTCGCTTGGACCAGGCACACCTTAGTCCTCAAACTGACATCTTTATTCTTGAATAATTTATAGAGGTCTTGTGCAGCAGATTTGCCCAATTCATTAAAGTCATTTGATTTCTTGACTACTGCTTTGATGATTGTTGATAATGGTAGTGATGGTGGTAGTGTGCCATGGAGTCAGTTCCAACTCACAGAGACCATGTATAGAGTCTCTGAAGTTGTAAATCTTTATGGGAGCAGAAACCCTCATCTTTCTCCTGTGAAGCGACTGGTAGGTTTGAACTGTTAACATTGCTGTTAGCAGCCCAAAACATAACCTACCACACTAACAGGATTCCTTAGTAGATCCAAACAAAAAGAAGTCTTCGAAAATTTCAATCTTTTCTCCCTTTATCATGATGTTATTTATTTGTCCAGTTGTGAGGACTTTCGTTTTCTTTACACTGAGATACAATACATACTGAAGGCAGTGGTCTTTGAACTCATCAGTATTTTAGTACTCTTCACTTTGAGCAAGCAAGGTTGAATCATCTTGCTTATTGTTAATGAGTCTTCTTCCAATCTTGATGCCAAGTTCTACTTCATACAATCCATTTTGTAGGATTATTTAATCAGCATACAGGTTGAATAAATATGGTGAAAGACAACAAGCCTGGAAACAACTTTCTTAATTTTAAATCATTCAGTGTCATTTTGTTTTGGTTCAAAGGGCTGCTTCTTCGTCTATGTACAGGTTCCTGATGAGCACAATTAACTTCTTTGGAATTCTCACTCTCCTCAATATTGTCCATACTTTGGCCATGATCCACAAAGTTGAAAATCTTTGCATAGTCAACAAAACACTGGTAAATATCTTTCTGGTATTTTCTGCTTTCAGCCAAGATCCATCTAACATCAGCAATGATATTCCTAATTTCACATCCTTGTCTGAATCCAGCTTGGACCTCTAAAGTTCACTATCAAAGTATTTTTGCACCAATATTTAAATTATCTTTAGCAAAATTTTACTTGCATGTGATATCAATGATATTGTCCAAGGATTTCTCCATTCCATTTGGACACCTCTTTGTGGAATGGGGGCAAATATGGATCTCTTCCAATCAGTTGACCAGGAAGCTATTTTTGAATCTTCTTGGCATAGATGAGTCAATGCATCCAGTGCTGCATCAGTTTATTGAAAGCTTTCAATTTGAATTCCATCAATTCTTCAGTAGCATTGACTCTTGGTCATCTCTTGAATTGTTTGAACAGTGTCCATTTCTTTTTGGTACCGTGACTCTGCATATTCCTTCCATTTTCTTTTATTGCTTTCTGTATCATTTAATATTTTGCCCATAGAATCCTTCAGTATTGACCATAAATGCTTAACTTTTTTCTTCAGTTCCCTCAGTTTGAGAAATGCTGAGCTTGTTGCTCCATTTTGTTTTTTTCTAATTCCAGGTCTTTGCACATTTCATTAAAATACTTGACATTTTCTCAAACTGCCATTTGAAATTTTCTGTTCAGTTCTTTTACTTCCTCACTTCTTACAGGTATAGAGTTGTCTTTAATGTTGTTTAAAAATGGTTTCTGAAATGAACAACTCGTTGTTGCTGTTAGGTGCCATCGAGTCGGCACCAACCCATAGCAGAACAGAACACTACCTGATCATGGGCCAACCTCACTACTGTTGTCATGCTTGAGTCCATCGATGCTGCCACTTGGCCGATCCATCACTTTGGGGGTCTTTCTCTTTTTCTCTGACCCCCCACATTACCAAACATGATATCCTTCTCCAGCGACTGGTCCCTCCTGACAATATGTCCAAAGTATGAGAGATGAAGTTTGGCCATCTTGGCCACCAAGGAGCAGTCTGGCTGCACTTCTTCCAAAACAGATCTATTGGTTCTTTTGGCAGCCCATGGCACTTTCAATATTCTCCTCCAACATAACTCAAAAGCATCAATTCTTTTACAGTCTTCCTTATTCACTGTCCAGCTTTCACATGCATATGAGGTTATTGAAAACACCATGGCTTAGGACAGGCGCACCTTAGTCCTCAAGCTGATATCTTTACTCTTCAACACTTTAAAAAGGTCTTGTGCAGAAGATTTACCTAATGCAATACATCCTTTGATTTCTTGACTGCTGCTTTCATGAGTGTTGATAGTTGATCCAAGAAGAATGAAGTCCTTGACAACTTCAAACCTTTCTCCGTTGATAAGAATGTTGTTTATTGGTCCAGTGGTGAGGATTTTTGTTTTCTTTACATTGAGATGTAATCCATACCAAAGGCTGTGCTCTTTGATCTTCATCAGTAAGTGTTTTAAGTTCTCTTCACTTTCAGCAAGCAAGGTTGTATCATGTGCATATTATATTGCAGGTTGTTAAAGAGTCTTCTTCCAATCCTGATGCCACGTTTTTTCTTCATAGA